GGGCGTGCCAACAGGTATAAGTTTTCAAGCTGTTCGACCACACAATAACACAACCTTTCTTGGAGTATTGTAAGTGTGCACTTAAAAACCGTGGAACCCTTAACTAGGGCATTTTGTGTTAATATGAAAACAAATCAAAAGCACTCGTAAAGCAAAAATGGCTTTACCACTTAATTTTTTGCAAGCGTGTAAAATTATTTCATTTCGGCTTTAATTTAATTGCTAAATCGGTGCCTTAGTCTTAGTGTACGTGCGTTTGTATCAATCATCCTCATGACCTACACTTAAACGCGAGTTTATAAGATCTGCTGAGCCGGGTTAGGTGTCGTAAATGGAAAGCTGTTGATTATGAGTTCAGGAGCAGAACCCTCTGGACAGGCTACTAAAAGCATTCTCAAGCCAAAGCACGAGCTAAACAGTAGGTCTTTGTCTAAGTTAATGGAATGGCTATTCTATTTCGCTGATGGAAGCTTTATTCTAGGCCTTAGCTGACATTAGTCTTAACGACCATGGTGATCAAATTTAAACTTTTATGCCTGTGGTAATAATGCAAAATACCGTTAGTTTGTAATCCTAAATTTTAATCTCTATCACCTTGTTTATACGTTTGCCTTTAACTAGGATTTTTTGAACTTATATCCAATAGTAATTTGCCGAATTTTTAAGCCGATGTGTTGATAATATCGGGTATAAAATGGGAAACGTGTTAGTAAGGTTAGCTTTTGTATTTGCATATTTTTATTATTTTTAAATTTCCAAAACTATATTTTACCCGCTTTTTTGAAAATTCTTTTTGCAGATAGCTTTTAAAAATGTCTACCATTGGTTCTGGCGAAAATCTTGTTACGTTTAGATATTTCTAGTATTGTATTAGGCAGGTATCTTGCCAATTTGTGTCGCGTTTGAGTTATTTTGGCCTGCGGGAATTGTCAGTAAAATTTTTTATCCCAAGTCCTCTGGTAGCCATAAACGGCTATGTTTGGTGCGCCTGAGCGATCACTGTTAGGAACTATTTACAATATTTGGAATGAACCACCCAAACAATGATTTAGCTATTTAACGATATGCTGGCTTCTAAGGCACTCATATTTAAGCTTATCTAAAGAGTTTGGAAATAGTAGTTAGGAGTGGAAATGCTTTTTATCATAGTGGCACACAGATATTCTCCACATAGGAAATTCAGGTGGAATGATTTTTAGCAAGCTTTTCTTTACATAATGGCTGCAGACAATTAGAAAAGAATCTTTTCATTGTTAAATATCAAACTTTAACTTTTGTCTCATTGAATCACCGTTATTAACCATTTTGAGCAAGAGGTGAAAAAATTTTGTTTCAACATAGTCCGGACACACTGCGTGATCTATTAATCAGAAAAAGTTGGCGTCTCGCAAAAACGACAAATTATTTCGTACAAATCCTCCTATTCTTTTCCTGAACTCGCTGCATCGTAATGAGGTGCAAATCATCACGCACCGAACGCATGTAGAGGAACATCAAACATAATTAATGAAAAGACTTGTTTATGTTGCTGGAAGAGACGAATGAATCTTCTTTGTATCCACTCCAGACATCCAATGAGATAAATTTTTTCCCTTCATTCGTTCGCATGGACAACTGTGCAAGTCGAGATTGGCTGTGCCAGAGGAGTAAATTTGTAAATCCACACCTTTTACTTAGTTTGAGGAAGGTACGAATTCAAGTCAATCCATTCGTTCAATGTGCTTTAAAAATTTGGCTCTTTACTTTTCGCTGCAGTTGAGATCTTCACTACACCCATGTGTGAAAGTTTGTCCTTCACGTGTTACAAGTTACTGCCACACACAGAGAGGGAGCAGTGATACAATGTTTATAACCACCAAATAAATTTATGCTAACTGTTCTTGTCACAATGAGTGTGATCTGGATTTACGATCCTCATCTGAAAGTTATTCAGCACACTTATTTCTTGTTCCCCACTCCAGGGCAGCAAGACGGGGATGGGGATGAGGAGGAGTCATGAAGATAGATGTTATCGTGCAAAGCACCACTCTACTCTTTGGTGTACTCCATTTTTTTCACACTAGTAATTAAGGCAAAGAAGGTCGCTCAGTTTTGCACATAAGGATGGTGAACGAGGAGTTGGAAGGCACAGGCTGGCTGATCATCGAGTCTAGACACAGTGATTCCACCTCGCGTCTCTATGTGATGACACTTTGGACCCCATCTAGGGCAAAAAAATGCCGAGAGCGAAATTAATAATGAAAGCTGGAGCTGTTCTTCTGTCTACTGAACTTATGGTTGTTTAAGTTTCCACCAGAGCGGATGAAGGGATTGCAATCGGCAGTGTAGGGGAGAGAAATGCGTTTCTGATTTGGCTAGCTGAAGAGGCGCTCTCAGAGGGAGGCGTTCACTGCAACTCATTTGTCTCACTTCTCTGCAATAGCTTCCAGGATTGAGATCGAGGGAGGACCACCCTCTTCATAAAATTTGTTTTATTTTAAGGCGGCCAGAGGAAGAGGGGTTTGAGTGAGTGACGTCCGTCTTTGGATATCCTCCTTCCCCTTCCTTTCGGCTTGGCTTATCATTCCTCCTGAACAATTTGTTTTGAACACTGATGTGCGCATTTTGAGCAAAAAATTGCATTCTTAGAAGGAGGAACTTAACGGTTAAATGATTTGGCCGTTTAGAGCTTCGCGTTTAAAGGTAGAATCCACTATATTTTGTCATCTTTGATCACCTTCGTAGAATGGGTAGGCCAAACTTTTCAAAGACTAAATGTCAAACTTCGTTAAAAATGGCCTGAAAATGGCCTTTGAAGTCACACGCTAGCGTCAGTGGATGATGTGACTTTGAAGAGGAATGCACATTTCACCACTTAAGTCTGCAGTCCCTCGCTCTGCCGATGGTTTCCTACTCCTCTTCTCCACCAGTGTCTGAGTTTCTTCCCCACGTGCAGGCACAGGAGACAGCTTTAAGAATGAACTGAATGGTTTAGAGTGCTTCTAGCATCCGTTCACCGTGTGAGATTGCGTAAAAAAGCCCCGATGTTGTTGTTCTCCTCAGTATTCCACGTAGCTACTAATGGACTTCAAAATGCCAACCGTTTTGCCATCTCCAGACAACGGTTTCCTTGGTCCCTTGACTCCTCGCGAATTTAAACGAATTCAATAAAAGTAACATTTACAGCTCCAAAATAAACACAGTTAGAGGTAACAATTAGATCCCTCCGCGCCCTTCATGTCCTTAACTTCGCCGGTGAGATTCAAAAACAAAACAATAAATTGTTTTAGTCGCTGTAGCCAACGCATAAAAGGCACAAGTTTACATCTAACCCATCATTAATGAAGAAAGTGGAGATTTTTTAGGCCTAATTCGGTAAAGGGTTCGGCAGACTGGTTGCCAATGCAATTAGAAGTACATCCATAGCGCTACAGTGCGTCACTCCTGCCATAAGTAAACTTCCATCAACCTAAATACCACCTCACGTCATTCTGATTTAGATTAAGCACCTTCCACACCTCTTGTCACCCAACTGGGAGGAGGCGGTGCTGCGGTGGATCGCCTGCAAGGGTGTCCCATCTACTGAATTCCCATTTAAGTGCGAACCATCTCAAAACCCTACTCAATTCTTTTGTATCCGGTTTGGATGGATGTTTATTTGCGGTCTACAAAATGGTCAATTAACTTCCGGTTCAGTGGGTTTGGTGCATGCCTCATAGTTTCCGTTGAGTTGACTTTTTCCACCCAGAACACTGGCACTTTTGACATCGACAAATGGTCTGTGTTTGAAAAAGTGTAGTTTCTGCCTTACTTCGGTGAAGGTCAACTAGGACAGTTACCGACTAAGGAGGCTGTGATCTTGCAAAATTGTTTGCAAGGGTGCTCTTTAAAGTAAAATTAACTGAAATGCAAACTCTTGTCTACATGTGAATGCCAACTTTTTGCACTGCTCCGGCAAAATGAACAATAGTGCCTTATTGTCTCTCCACCGATGGAACGAAAACATTTTTCTTTCAAGAAAATCTCCATCCTTTCGTTATTTGGAGTGGAACTTTGCGGAGTTATTTGTGATGACAACTGTCATGTCATCATTTAGGTTAACCATCATTGTTCTAAGCCCAAAAGCACCTGTTCTTTTGTTCGCTGATTTCATTTTAGGATGTTTGAAAAATCAGAACTAAGTAGCATTGCGACTGCCATTCTCAGCAATAAAAGAGGTTTTGTTTTTTGCCAACTATTTTCTGCACAACTGTTTACCCAAAACATTCACACACCTGTGAAAATGTATGCCCAAGCGAGTGGTAATTTGGATCAACCACCTTTTGCATTGCCCTTATCTCATACGCTGTTGTACTGCAACAATGATCAAAAGTTGGCCGAGTAAACAAAAGACGAACGAACCAATGAAATGGAGCCATTTCGTTAACTGTAGCGCAAATAAATGTAGTGATGGATGGGCTGTTCTATCGCTCGAGATGGTTTTTCCATCCAAGCGGCGCACCTCCTCCTCTTTCTTGCTCTCCCTTTGGGACTGTTATAGCACGTGTTTTAAAGTACCTCGAGAGTTGGGTCAGAAGTGACAATTTTCTTTCATTTCTCTGTGATTGAGTTGGCGCCAAGTATCAAATGGCTGCCAGCACTCCTGGCGATCAAAGCCCTGAGAAACGCATAACCAACTTCCAAGAGCGGGTGCGATAGTCACCCACACTGGTTTTGTCCACTCGCCTGAGGGGTGAAGGGAGGCGAGGTAAGGGCAATCGAAACATCAATGGAGACGGGAAACGGCCGTGGTGGTAGAAGTAGCGGTCTTATCTGACATTCCACTTGTTGGTCTAGTAAACGCTTTTTAAGTCACTATCTCAGCATTTAATTCGACACAGAATCACGATGGTTCATAGTTGAGTTGGGTGGAGCCAAGCAGTGTTTCTTGGGGTTCACCTTGTCAGCCTGGGATATGAATTAGCTGCATCGAATTCTACCAAAATGCTGTCTTGGGGTGGTGCCTTCCCTCTAAGTCGTCAATGTTGAAGCGGGAGCGAACGGTGGCTTCGGTGGTGCAGGTACTACTCTTGTTTGGGGATACGATTAAACACCAAGGCAAAGTTTTATCAACTGCAAATTGTGGAAGAGTTCGAAGTGGCCTCTTCACAATTTACTCTAATTCCCGTTTTATAACAAGTTTTTGCATGTCATGAAGAGGAAATGGAAATTCGAATTTCATTTTCTCCTTGAGATTTTGCGTAATGTCGCCTCTCTTGACCAACACGCACGCATTCACCCACACACACACACCAGTTTGCTTTCCGAAGATAAAATAGCATTCTTTAATGGTCACTCATCCTTTTTTCGTTTTTATGAATGCCTTTAATTATCCTTTCATGAGCTCTACTTTTGCAGTTGTTTGGTGGAGGTAATTGAAGCATTAATAGAGTGGCAGAAGACCGCAATTAAAATGAGAGTGGACTCTCTTTGTTTAAACAAACACTACGGTTCAAAATTTAATCAGTTTGTTTGACACCTTTCGGACATCTCCTCACTTCCCATATTTTCCAGCTAAATGTCGACGTGCCCATCCCGACTCATCAAAGAACTGTAAGGGAGGAGGAGGAGGAGGAGGAGGAGGAGGGAGGTGAACGTCTGCCTGGATAAACATGAAGACAGTGTTTAGGCTTAAGGTGGCTCTTCCACACCTAATTAAGGTGGACGAGCCAAAGTAGACGTGCCGGAAGGAAATCACTCAGCTAACGCTTTTCTCCCACAATCAACTTTTCAGTCATTATAAAACTTTCCGGAATGCTAAGGCCATTCCTGAACATGATTGGGTAGTTTTTTACCAAAACAAAACAGAAACGTTACTATTGTTTACGGATTATTTTAGTGAATCTCGGTGCGTACAACCTCTACGCGAAACGGGCCAGTTTCAAAGATGATGGCGTGCTACAGCAGTTTGTCACAGAAATGGCCGGTCAACCGATTATTTCGCCCCCTGTTCTGGAACAGGTAAGTTCATAGTGAAAGGGAACTGCTCCCAAGGCAATAAACTGTCTCCACGCCTCCGTTAGTTCCATCCAAATGCGCACGACCGTTCAATGTCAGTAGGCTTGCCTCAGAGAGCAAAATATTGAAAATTACGATTCCCGTGATAACATGAACACTCCCTGTGAAGGGTTGGTGGACTGGAGGTTGAATGTCACCATCCGTCCAGTGGGAGGCTAAGGGTGCTTATGGGAGTGTCTCATCCCCACCTCCCTAGGTGGAACATGTCACTCAAATCACTGACTACTGCAGTATTTATTTGGTCGTTTCCTCCTCCAAAGCCTTGTCGGTGAGGCCTGTTCGTCAACCGCAGCATCACGAGAAGGCAGAAGTAACAAGATCTTTAGGTAAAGTAGAAAATTGACGCTTAATGTGGTGTCACAAAGGTGATACCTTTCACTAGATGCGGAAATTACCGCTCAAATCTGCCAAATGTCTGCCCGTTATTTCCTTCATCTAATGTAGAATTGTCACTGTCCCGTTTAGCGGATCCACAATAAACTGGCGGCCTGTTGGTAAAGGCGTAGTGTCACGTTTCAGCTGCTACCTGACAAACCAAGTGGACCCTCTGGGAGCTCGAGGTTGAGCCTCATTATCTCTCTTTCACTTGTAGAGTGGGGAATTATTTATGAGGAGAACTTTTCTTGCGTATCACCTGGCTCTCTCTTTCTCTCTCTCTCTCTCTCTATCGGTCACCCCAACTCGGAGAGAGGCGATTTCTGTGATGTTTTATTCATTTTAGCTATACACGCAGTGCACAAGTCACTTTTTATTCTCTCTCCCATTCATGAAAGCCGTTTTTAAGGCTGGAACTGTGCTGGAATGTTGTTGGACACTTTTTTAGGACTGGCTGTTATCTGCTTAAAAGTGTAAGCCACTCCAAACCACATACGGCGCTCTGAGTCCTCGACGCTGCAAGGGAAGATTGGCGATTAGTTTAAAGGAGGGAGGGAACGAGTGAAGGCTTGATCATGTGAATATTGTGGTGGCGAAAAAGTGTACATGGCGAGAGAATTGAAGGCTTCATACGATCGGGTTTTAATGGGTAGGAAAATGCAAGGAGAGGGGAAGGCAGCGAAGGCTTCATTTGGATGAGTACCGCTTGAAGTGAAGCAATCCTCCACACGGAAAGGAGCAGGATGCAATCACGGTAAAGCCTCTCGTCTCTCCTCTGATCTGATGACGCAGAGAACATTTAAATCCACGTTGTAAATCCTCATTTCCAAGTCAGCAGAGTAAACAACGAAAATTTAATCATTAGATCCCTTTTTTGTTGAATTGAATAAATAAGCAGAAGCGGCTCTTCCCCGCTGTGACTCCTCCAACGGAGGCCTCTGGACGCTGGAAGAAGTTGTTGGGATGATTGCGTGGCCGGTAGCAGGGTCGATTGCCGCTTGAGCCCCAAAAGGCCACCGCGGTAGCACAAACGACCAAAATCGGGAAAGAATGTCTTTAGGAGAGTCAAGTGGTTCAATCACTGCCTGAACTTTAAAGCAGCACTTCATTCGTAAGTGTTCATAGTGCAAACCACTTAAGATGTAAAAAGAAGTTGCCAAATTGTCAGACTTGCCATAAAATAACTGCAGAAGTGGGGAAAGTCTCTCCTTTTGAAAGGAAATTGATCATCTACACGCAATGCAGACACAAAACACCGCTTTCAGTCATTACCAGCCGTAGAGAGGAGGGATTGAGCAAGGCGATGGCGTGAGCCAACTAATTTGGCGGACAGGTAACCGCAAGGCCTTACATCAGTTTATTAAAATAAGTTTTTCCTCTGAAAAACTGCAAACTATTCCATATTTACACATCTGTGTGATAAATTTTCGCTTCACAGTCCTCCTAAAGGGGAAAAAAATGTCAGAGTCAAATGTCAAGACAAGGTGTGTGTGTGTGTGTGTGTAGACCTTTAACCGGGTGCATAGTTTGACAGCACCGTTTCGAGGAGTAAACACTCTCGCGATCACAACCAAAGCCACTCTCAGTCGATCGCACTCCGAAGAACCGGGTTTTGCGTGTGTGGACATGAAAACTGTAAGGCTGAGAGTAGTCATGTGTTCCCCTTCCTGCTACAACATGAAGACGCGTTGACAGAAAGCTCGAGGCAATGAGAAAATGGGAGAGAGGCCTTCCCGCCAGCACCATCACTGACTGAGCTTTGGTCCACCGAGCCAAATGCCTCACAATGTCTTCTCTCTTCCTGCTGTTTGCGATTACACTACTATCCTAAAACATCTTATCCCTTTCTACCTTATGTTCGCCTTACACAACCTTTTCATGCTTGAATTGGCAATAACGTCGTCACCTTCGTCGCACGCCTTCCATCGACAAACCGATCAGCAGTGCCGAAGGGTGCGCTCACCTTCACCACGTGCCAGGCAATGCGATTGAGGTCATTTCCTGACCAGAATACATATAAGGAGGCCCACGAGAACGCGTGAAACGGGCTTGGTAAGAACGAAGACGATTGACATGTGATGGCATTACGCGATTAATGTGGATTTATGCGTCAATTGTTATGCAAGCATGTTAACACAAGTGTTTGATTGACGATTTAACAGATTTGCAAATGGGATTTTCACTGCTCGACAGGCACATGTGCGTGTGATGATGAGAGTGAGTGTGTGGTGTGATGTGGATACGATTGCGTGTAGAGAAAATTCATGGAGTGGAGGAACGGGTGACTGTGTTGGCACTGCATCTGCTTAACACGTAAAAGCGGATTTGCAGTCCAATTGCCTAGAAATTCATATCTTGTGTGGAGATTTGAAAAATCAGAAGGATTAAATGCCACTGAGGTTGCAGAGTGCCACAGAACGTAGTCACCTTACACTACCACTAGTGAACATGACGGATGCGATGATGACAATGATGCGACGATAAAGCGTTCGTGAGTTGCTGAATACCTTCAAACTACCCTATTTTGGAAGTTTGATTGGCGATGATGACGAATTACTCTTGGTTTGGCCCATCTCACCGTCTGAATCGGAGGCTATGCAAGCCGATCACAATGCTGCTTTACTTCCTGCTTCTTTCACTGCTGCGGACGAATCTAACAATGTGAGAAACTACGAGGACTCTCATGTTCAATCAATGTGGTGGGGGATAGTTGAGTGAATGAAGGCAGGCGGATTCACTTCGTTGTGTGTCGAAGAGAGAGACAAACCACAAGCCATTCAACGCACCCACCACATTCCACACATTGATGCGGGTGCGCGGATTGCACTTTAAAAGATGTTGGCAAAAGAAAGAAGTTCACGAAACAATATGGACGTTCTATTAATTCCTTAGAATTGCATCAGCAAAACTGCCTTTTTAAGCTCTCAAAGCTACCTTACATAAATCGCTCACGTCATCATGTATTGGTAGGAGGAAGATTAAAAATCCTTGTAGCGCTGTTCCAGATTGGAGTGCGACCGCACCGTTTGACTACACGCCATGACAAATGCTACTGTCAAATCAGCAGCCAGAAGGGCTCGGTATTCATGTAAAGCACTCGCACTCAGTGTCGTATACGTGGTTGGAGTGGAAAGCGAAAGTATTCCCCTCTTCCCTCAGCTTTCATCTTTCTGCCATTAACCAAACCAAAGAAATTCCATACGTGAATGCTCCTTTGCACCACATCTCATATCTTCAGAGAATCCATTCGCAGGTCCCAAAGTCGCAAAGCGGACTATCAGCCTCTGTCATATCGCTAAGGAGGCATTTGCCCTATTGCATCGGCTTCGCTTGGCCCAGCCAAATGCCAGCCGAATGATGACAGCACAAGTAGGTGTTGTTGCAACGCCTAATTTTTACACCTGCCAATGCAAAAAGAAGGCTGGTGCAGGTGTTGGAAGGAATAAAGGTGACTGATTGAGCATTTGCCTTTCTTCATTTTAACTCGAGACGGTAAAAAGGAGCATTGACAGACCCAAGAGGCGGTTATTTGCGACTTAGTTAATTGGAATTTTCTCCCTCTTCTTCAGTCTGCCAGAGAGCTAGCTGGTTTGCCGTTTGCAAGACAACAAGCTTCAAACCAATTCTTATAATCCCTTTGCACTGGAGTGGGGATTCCTTCACTATACACTTAACAAAAGTACTTGGAGAGGACTCAAAGAAATTTAATGAATTCGTTGCCAAGCCACATGTGAATGCAGCACTTCCATGTTCCGTGCCATGGTCTCACACTTCAGTGTCTTCAAAGTCGACACAGTCGTCCAAGGTGACACCACGCATTGCTCCCCTCCTTCACTCAACAAACTGCCAGCATAGTGGCGCTTTTTCATCCCAACTATTCTCACTCCTCCACCTCACTCCACTCCCTCCCTACCTCCACCTCCACCCACACACACACAATCTTCACGCCCTATGGGAAATGCAAGTGGGAATGATGGAGATATAAATGAGGTAAATGCGTGTGCCCTGCCAAACCCACCACTTCGTGGGTCAATCTCGGTCACATCGATCACCCACCTCACCAATCTCCACGTGTCCACCGCTTTCCGCCTCCCCTCTCGCACAGAACACCGACCCACAATGGTGGATGAAATGCTGCATTGTGGAATGTGACATTTCAAAGTTGTTGATGGTGTACTTTGTTGCGTCACAATCGTGCCCACCTCACCTCACCTCACCTCACTCCATCCCACCTTCGTGTGTGATGCACCTCCTCCCTCATTCCTCCTGCCTCCTGTCTCCTACTTCGGTGGAATGAGGCGATGTGCAGCAGTGCAAACACGATGGTGTGCACGTCAGCGCCACCAACCTCTGGCTTGAATGAGTATTAGCACACAGTCGTTTGGTGCACAAATCGCTTTGGGCATTGTTATGGTGGGGTGAATGTCTGCATGATGGGTGGACATTTGACTGAGGAACTGTCCTACGCCGACTTCTCATCACAGTATGTCTCTTACAATTTTATTCACAGTTACAAGGTCTAGTCAAGATAAAAATGAGACCTCACCTCCTCTCCTCATGCTTACTCCATCAGGTTTTTTGGCTGGCCGTTATACTTTGCCACGACTAAGGTTGACCTGCTGTGGCTGTGACGTAGAATATTTAAGAATATTTAAGAGCATTCAACAGAGTTGAGAGTACGGAGGGTCGGTGGTGGTGCGTCCTTTCACGTTGTCACTCATCCTCCAAAGGAACGATGTCCTTTTCGTTGTCTACGCAAACACACACGAAGGTTGTCTATAGGAAGTGAAGGATGTGGTGAAAGTGATGAGTGGATTCGATGCTTCTGTTTGATCCTGTCTACAACGCTTCCCATTAAATGTGCGCACGTAGGTGTATGCGAATGGGAAAATGTGAATGAGGAAGGAAAATAAAACTCCCATCGGCATGAGGAGTGTTTAGAATGGAGGAGGTGACTAACCTCTGTAAGCTGTTCTACTTTAAGGCATTCAAATATTTCGACAATTAGAAGTGGTATTATCAGGAGTAGAATATTAAGCCTAAAACCACTTTTCTTTACTCGATGCAGTTAGATGTCAATGAAAGTTGTTTAAAGAGGTCTACTTTATACAGGATCGCAGAACGTGGCCACTGGTCACAGGTGAATCCATCGTTTCTACCGTCGCTGTTGCCAGCCGAAGGAGGGCTGCGCTTCATCCAAGGAGGAGAGGGAAAGTCTCTTGCCTCCCCCACCTCCTCCCTTTCTTCCTCTGATGTCACTCCTTTAAGCTGGATTTAATCTTCCCTTGTCCTTAGGCAGTCACATGCCAGATAGCAGAAAGGGTGGATGCAGATTGCCTCATGTTTGAAAAAAAAACTATCGTGCAAAACCTGTGCCGCGTTTGACGAGAAGGAGAGCTGCCACCGAA